GGGAAGGGAGGGAAATGCACGGGACTATGGTGGTGGCACAGGGGTGATTTGGTGATGGGAAACCCATGGGGATTACAATTGAGATGAAAAAAAAAATGTGCAAAATGATGTAAAAATAAACTTTTTAATAAAAAAAAGTGATGGTGCATAGGTGAACTGGTGGTGGAAATTCTATGGGGACTGCATCTGGTGTAAAATATATACAAAGAAAGAAATTAAATATATAACCAGCCCCCTTGCCCCTCACGCCAGAACTTCTGCTAAAAAAATCATGGGAATCAGGATCATAAAAGAACATTCTAATTGAGAGGATGCCAGATCTGAAGATGCTTGTGCCACATGCATAAGCCTCCCGTGGACAAGTTTACTTTGACCCTCACCTACTCTCTTTTTCTGCCATTTTATAGCAACTGAATCTTTTTTTTTTTTTTAGATTTTTTTTTAAAGATTTATTTATTTGTGCATACAGAACTAGGTACAGGCCAGAGGCTCAGGGGTGGCGAGAGGCTTCACCAGAGACAGAGTAGGGAACAGAGCAGGCAAATCGACAAAGTACACTGCTGAGGCGAGCAGTGGGCGGGTCAGGAGAGGTCTGCCACACCATGTGATCACCTCCGGGGCAGGTGGGAATCAAACTCATGCGGAAACAGCTTTAGATTCTCAGTGCTGTGCTTTAACCCGCTGCGCCACCAGGGAGGGCCACAACTGAATCTTTTATTTTACTGTGGGAAGAGTATCCCCCAGTCCCAACAACTTCCACGCACAGACAAAGTATGTACTTATTTCATGGCACAAGCAATCAGGTCTCAGGTCTCATATGAGACTTGCATGCTCCTTTTGCTTGAGGTTAGGCATCATGGTTAGCTACTGGGCAAAGCTCATTGCCTTCTTCAGGACTGTTATAAGATCTGCTGTGAAAGTCCTAAGCATTGGGGAATCTCACAGCAAAGGGTAGGATCTATGAAGTTGTTTAAAGAACTACAGGTGTACTTACCTAATCCCCGAGAAATATTTGGAAGGCCAGAGTAGCATCCATATCTGAAACTAAAATCCTGAAACTCAGGAATTTTAGCTGGTATTTGGTAATTCCGTCGAAATTCAGTGTCTGCTGGGTGGGGAATTAATGTTTTCCACTCTGGGGACATCTGAGAACTTTTCTTAATCTTATCAGCTAGGATAAAGGTAGAAATGGAAGACAATAATTAAGCTTATAAGTTATTCTAAAGAGCATTATATTTTCATTCCATTTTCTTCTGGCAATAGCTTCCATTTTATCACACTAAAACTCACTCTTCTATAAAGGTATAGCCAATGTACTTTTTAATGGATATTCAAATCAAGAAATAATTTTCTGTTTTATCAGGTCAAGAAGAATATGCTGAAATGGTTAGAAGCAGTTTCTAATGAATATATTATGTGACTGTTAGGAGTGTCCTTTTGCTCTGCTTGGTGGACATAGAAGACATCCCCATTCCAGTGGGCCTGTCCAGTCCTAAGGGCTAGGGTGGGAAGCAGACTGAGAGATTTTAAGTAGGGCTGGGGTTGCCAGACATAAGAAAGGACATCAGTTAGGTTTGATTTTCAATAAATAATGAGAGATAAATAATAATTTTAGGATAAGATCATATTGTAAGTATAAGTAGTCATTAGTTAGTTAATGTAAAGTGTTATTCATGTTTAACTGTACATCCTGTGTTTTTATCTGCTAAGTCTGGCAGCCCCAGACTGGGGCTGGAAAACACTTGAAGCTTAGCCCTTGCTGAAGAGGGCTAGGGGACATCATTGTCATTAATGAACAACAGGACCGTTATTTACTTAAAATAACTCTGCTAAGAAATATTCATTACATTTATAATCATTAAATATCCATCTAAACAGGATGCACAAACACTATTAGGTCACAGAGAAAAGTGTTGCAAGCCATCTCACATAGAATGAGTTCATGCTCTGAATTAGTTCAGAGCACATCATAAAGCACCAACTTTATTCAGGGCAAAGATGCTGAAAAAAAAAATGGATTTCATGAGAAATATCCACACAGCATAAATTACTGTTGATGCTAAACTCAGTTCTGTTCCAGATTAGTTTTTCTTTGGGTCTTTTCAAAATAAATCCAAATGTCAATTATACAGTAAGCAATATGTGATGTCATCTGCTGGCACCCAAGAGCATTTTCACATTAACTTTTAAAAATGATCTCTGTCTAGACCAGCACAGAGAAGAGGGTTTCACTGAATGTTGCCTTCTAATTTAGATGGCTCAGGAGGAGAGGATGAGATACTCAGTAGCTCTCCTGGTAACCTCAGAGTGCCTGAGGAGACAAGGTTACTGGGGGAGGAGGAACTCTAGAGCTCAAAATCAGGACATGGCTTAAGATATTTTGGAAAATAATCTGTTATTATTCTTAGTAAGCAGCGTCTGTAACTTGTTTTATATAAGTTGCCTTTTTTTTTTTTTTTAGGAGAATAGCAAAGTTCTGTTGAAATACTTGATGCATATGTTTACCCCTCTGCCCTAGAGCTATTCCATTCACAAATGTTTTCAGTTCCTTTGTATATTCTCTGCAAGGTTAAACATAGCTAAGTTATTGTCTTACTTTAATAAGACCTCAAACTGGTGTAATTAGAAGGGTATCTAGGAAAAACAGATAAGGAATGGAATATCTTTCAGCCATATAACACTGGAACTTAGGTTCTCACATGGAGATAATATATTAGAAGTATCTGGGATGGTTTTTCCAAAACATACCTGGTAAACCTCGTCTCAGAGATTGGAGATCTTTAGGAGGCCCAGGTATTGCAAACCAGCTTCCATACGCTTAAGAACCACTCACCAGGGCTTTCATACAGGACTGGGGAAGCCCAGAGTGACCAGAGTGAGTGTAGTCAACTCTGCTAGGGGAAGGAAGCCAAGAACCAAAAAGGGTAGAAACAGCGACAGACATAATTTTGACAGTGGGTCAACATGGACTCGACAGGTATAGAGCATGGTCATGAACATGGTTTCGTTGGTGGGTCTGTGAAGGACTCAGGACAGGGAGGAGGAGCTGAGGTGGAAGCAGAAGCTTCTATGCAGCAATTGGAGATGAAGATCAAGAGAACACAGAAATGAGGGCTGAGTCTGAGTTCCTTTGAAGATAAATTATGTTATTCTTCATCGATTCTTAGTACTTAACACTGTAATAGGTCTCATTAATTATTTATGAAATTAATGAGAGAACAAAAGGAAAATTTAGAAATATAATCGCTATGGATTAGCAATTAATCTGAACCACACTCTAGCAACTGCCTGTATGTTATATACTTAGAGTAATTCTTAGTTTTTCTCAACTAATGCCTTTATGAAATTCTAAGTTAGAGTTCCTTCAGGTATTACTGAATAAAGAAGTTATTGATACAAAGGGATCTAAACCTTAAAGGAGTTAGAGTTCCTACAGTCATCTTGAAGTATGGGCAGAGAGAGAACCATTATTCAGTGTAAACCTGACCCAGTGCAAACCACACCTCTGGATCTGGGCCCCTCAAGGGAGGAGGCCCACTGCCCCTAAGGAGCTCAGTTCCCACTCCCTGCTGATTTCTTTTACATTTGATAACTATGATATTCTACAGGCGTAATTATAGTCCAAAGAGGGAAACTGGCCCATTGAAGATGAGGTATGGTGTCTGCATGAAAGTTTAATCCAAAAGTAAGTCTTAGCAAGGACTATTCAAAACCACTAGGAACATTGGCACCTAATCTATAGCTAATTCTGCTCTTTACCTGCTGTCCTACTTCATCAAAGTCAAGTTCTGCAAGTCTGATTGTAATGCTTCATTTTCACCTCAATTCAGTAGTGAGGATGCAAAGATAAGACATTGTGCCTGTGCTCCAGAAGCTTAAAGTAATGAACAAATGACACATAAAAAGACATTACAGAATTATGCTGTAAAGGAGGTAAGAGGAGGATCTGGAAAACAAACTTGAAGGGATCGGAGAAGACTCTTGGGAGAGAAATGAAGCCCACCATTACATTGACATGATGGACAGACAAAGGTTAAAAGATGGAGGGGTGTGGTATTTCCATAGGGAGGAAGCAAAGTGTGCAGAGTGTGGGTGTGTGGTGCAATGTGGGTCTGAAGGATGGAAGGCAACGGATCTTGTAGCTTGGGGGATGGCAAGGGAGGATAATAGCCAGGTGGACAAAGACCAAATTACATAAGACTCCTGTTAAGGTGTTTAGGCTTTATCTGGAGGACAATGCGGAGTCCCTGAGAGGTTTTACGGAGGCAGATAAAGTTTGCACATCTGGAAACTAATGAAGGGTATAGCACAGCCAGTGGATAAGAGGAAACTGGTAAAAGGAGTTAGGTCCAACTCCAGGGAGAGACTTTGGCAACCTGAACTAAGGTGGTGGCTGTCACGGTAGGAGAGAAGCAGATGGCATTATAAAGTTGAGGAAGGAGTCTTGGGTGTTTATCTGCACTTTGGGAAATAGCAATTTGCTCATGTTGAAAGGTCAACTTTGATTTGAGATGTCAAGACATCTTTTAAGAACGCTGACATTTCCAGTGCTTTCCATGACACAATGTATAGAGCTGCAAAGCATGGAGGTCTTTTGCTCCCATACCCTACTAGCTTTAAAAGGCACACATTCATGTATTATTTGCATCATTCAGCAAATGTTTACAGAATTCTTCCTATATAGCATGTATGCACTAAACCCTAAGAGGATTAAGGCCTCTGGAAGCTTACTGTGCAGCAGAGGAAAGAATAAAACAAAGACAACAAAAGATAAGAATTGGCAAGTGACTACAAAAAGCACAGCTAGAAGGAAATAAGTGGTGACAGCATGATGGGCAGATCAAAGAGTAAGCAGGTGACATTTAAACAGAGTAACAAGTGGAAATCACAGAAAGTGCTGGAAGAACAACATTCTGGCAGAGGGGACAGCCTAAACACTGGCAAAGGTGACAAAGTAGTTGACATCTTATGGGAATTAAAAAAGGTCTACGTGGCTGAAACCTGGCAAATGAGGGGTCTAGAGTGAAATATGGTGAGGCTGATGAGCACCAGGCTCACCCAGCACGACATTATAAGTCAAGAAAAGGAAATGAAATTGGTGTTTTATACAAAGTTCAATTGGAAGCTACTGAAAGGAAGCAGTAGATTATCTGATTTAAATTAGCTAGTTGCCTGGTAGCAAAGGCAATGGAGAGGCCATAGGTAAAGTATCGATGATACAGACCATGTAGGAAGATCAGTTGACAGGGAAAAGAAAAGATCGTGATTTGGAATCCCCATGAGACTTCTGCTCACTTCTCAAATATGTACAATTAGGGTTGAGGAGACATTTGAGGAAGAGATATAACTGTGTTAATCCTCAGGAGAGTTGCTCTGGAAAGAAATTAGGTGCTCTAAAGGACTCAAATTATTAGAGGTCAAATTGAAAAGGATCGAAAAGAAGGCATCAAAGTAGGGAAGACCAGAGGAGTATGTTGTCACAGAAGGTCAATGATAAGTGTTTTAAGAAAGAGCAAACAGCCAACATTTAATATGTTGGGTAAGATGTAGACAAGAAAATGTCACTGACAGTCACTCAGTCCCTTGACAAGGGCACTTTCAATGACATGACCTGATGGGGGCAGAGATCAGATTGAAAGGGATTCAGAAGCAAAGAGGTTAAAGGTGCTTCCCATGAAACCCAGTGGGAAGCACCTCCTTCCCCAAACTTTATCAGAATAATAGTAGAGATGTAAACCCATTTTTAGAAGCTGGAAACCAAATGGAGATGAAACACCTGATTTAACAAAGTAGTGGAAACAAACTAACAGACTACAGAGGGTCTAACAAAAAAGTGAATTCATCCACACTACAGAACCCCAACACTTAGAGGTAACACCTGTAGTGGAAGGCAGGTAGTGAGGTTATGGGCTGAAAGTAAGGAGTTTGGGGCGAAAGCTTCGATACACGGTGGTTCCCTGGATCACCTTCTTGGTCTCATACAACTCATACAACTATCCCTTCTTAATCAGAAATTCTCTATAGAACTGAACCAAAGAAACTCTGGGTTTTGGAGCACAGTGAAAGGTTGGTATGAGATGCTGGACTGGAAAGAGAGGGATTCAGTGAGAGTCTGTATGACAGGAAGATCCTGGTCCCTCCCTCCCTATTCCTCCTCTTAGAATATCAGTAGCCTCAAGTGTACCACTCTGGTAGGGCATCTGGGGATTTCCCAAGAAAGAGTTGATCACATAATCACCTAAGTCAAGTACCAGCTAACAAGTTCCATCTCTATATGTGATTTTCAATCAGATTTGAGTAATTCCCTGGTCAGTTTTTGGACCTTGAGCTTTGTATTTTGAGCATACCCATTTTAAGAGCACACAGGAGTATGATTCAAGTTTTATTATTTTCATAGGAAATCTTCCTTTGCTCCTTTGTAAATACAAACAGAAAACAAAATTTTCATTAGACCATTAAGACTGTCAGAGAAGTCCCTCCCTGGTGGCCAGTGGGTTAAAGCACAGCATTGCAAAGCTAGCTACAGCCATTTGAAAGCAAGTTTGATCCCCAACCTAGGAGGTGACCCACATAGCACAGCAGACCTCTCCAGTCTTGCCCACTGCTCCCCTCAGCAATATACTTCATTGAGCTGCCTGTTCTGCTCTTTTCTCTATCTCTGGTGAATCCTCTGACAGCCCCTCATCCCTGCCTGTACCCCAGTACTGTATGTATAAATAAGTAATCTTTAAAAAAAGACTTTCAGAAAATAGAGATGATACAAGAAGCAGATGAAAATAAAGTATAACAAATATTCTAAAATATATGAGAATTATTGCATCTATAAAGGAACCGAAATGCTGCTTAAAAAATAATCAGAGAGGTGGCCCTCCCTGGTGGCGCAGCGGGTTAAAGCACTGCACTGAGAAGCTAAAGCCACTTCCGCATGAGTTCAAATCCCGCCTGCCCCGGAGGAG